AGGCTGATTAAGATATGGTTCTCGCTTCCTGAAGTGAATTTTCCTTTATGGAAAGAAAAAACTCGACACACCTTTCTTGAAGTGGTAATTTCAGCTTTGACAACAGGAAAAATTTGCACGGTGCCATTGAACTCGTTGTCTTAACTTTTTTACAACGTTCTGCCATCGCTAAACACTCTAAAGTAAAATAGCAAAAACAACTAATGTAAACACACTGAGTAACAGATTGCACTCAAACGTCGTATGATGATATAGCGCAGTACTATTAACTTATAGTACAGACATTTATGGTAATATCTTTCATAAGCGTTTTTCAAATTAAAAATACTAGAACGGTGTATATACTATGCGGTGTATAGTACATATATCCCGAATGTCTACACAATGTCTATGAATGTCTATGAGTGTTACCAACATATAGAAAAAAACATTTTGATAATATATCTTAAAAAAATCTTTTATAAGCGGTTTTCAAATTATAAATTCTATACGTAGCACAATAGAAGTTATTCTGTGTATGGTACATAGACATCAAATGGTAATATCTTTTACAAGCGTTTTTCAAATTACATATATATATATATATATATACCGAATGTATTTACGATTAATTAAAAATATTATTATTAAATATTATTGTTAAAAGTTTAAGTGTGACATCGCCCAACAGCCATTACTGCGGAAAAGAGTCCTATTGTACCAATTTCACTACTGATTACACAATGCCCCTTAAAGCTTTGTGAATAAAGTCTAAAACTAAACCTAGAGAAGAATTCTTAATCTGTACTGATGACATAAGTTCCATATAAAACAAATCTTCTAAGCATTATTAAAGCTGTGTATTCACAATAAATATGCATGTTAGTTTCATCTTCGATAGTTGTGGTTTATGAAGGTGGTATTTTAGTCCATAATGACCTCTAAAAAAACCCCGTTAGCAACCTTAAATTACATTTTGAGAATTTAAGGATGTCTTTGTAGAAGTACGATGATATCAGTGCTTGGCTTTGTCTAAATATGTATATACAATACATTGAAATCAACAAGACATCAACAATGTTGCGGCTAAGACTTTTAAAAATATCATAAAATTTATTCAAATTTATTTTTAGTTATGATGAGCTCCTTACCAGCTTTTATTTATTCAGAATATTATTTTCTTTGATTCTATGTTATCTGGTTGTTGTTGTTTTTTTCTTTTTTTT